GTATTATAGTTAATTGGATTTTCTAGCTTCCTGAGATTTAGTGATGCGAAACTCCTTTTGTATTGGGATACATAATGAAACTTCTTTTGATTCTGACTCTTGTTAAAACGTCTTCTGAGACCTAGTAGGTTTTAATTCCTTTTGGAAACAGTACGTTGCAGTAAATATAACATTATTGTATTGATGGAAGGTCTTGATTCTGAATGGCCTGTCTCATTCTGGAATACTGTAAAAGGAAATAAAGAGATTTAAAGTAATTATGCCCCTGGCTGGTATAGCTCAGTAGGTGGAGTGCCGAGAGGTCACCAGTTTGATTCCTAGTCAGGGCACATGCCCAGGTTATGGGCTCCATCCCCAGTGGGGGGCATGCAAGAGGCAGCTGATTGATGTTTCTCTCTTATCAATGTTTCTATCTATCCCTTTCCCTTCCTCTCTCTCTCTCTCTCAAAAAAAAAAAATCAATACAAATATATTAAAAAATAAAGTAATTATAATTGAATACTAAGCCCAAGACATTTATTAGAAGTAGCATTACAGAAAAATGAATCTTTGTTATCTATGTATTTTCTTGATGTGGTATTTGCAGAATCAAAAATCAGTGAAATCAGTCTGATTATTTAAGGATTTTTAAGGTACTGGAGGGTGTTGAATTGAAGTTTTACTATGGGATCCTATAGTGCATAGATGAAGGGTGTGGTGCATAGACAGACTGGGGATTTCTGGTGTTGCCACTTGTAGCTGAGTGACCTTGGACAGGTCCTTCAATTTCTGAGCTTCAGTTTTTCATGTACAAATCAATTTGTTATTGGCATTTAGTGAAATAATACATATGAGGTCCTGTGTGGTATGTAATAAAGATTCAATAGGTGTTCATAATATGTTTATTATCATTATTAGTGATTGCATCATACGGACATAATTGATCTTCGAAGTGGAACGCAAGAGAAATAAGGGCATAAGTGGCCACTGACTTGGCAGTAGAGCTAGCCTGAAAACAGGATAGGTTTTGGAGTTGGACTGGTCTGGGGTTGAACCCCTTTTTCTCTGCTTGCTGTGCACCTTGGGCAATTATCAGAATTTCTCTAAACCCCAGACTTCTCATTTGTAGATTTTCTTAAGGTCGTTGTGAAGGTTAAATAGGATAAAATACATAAAATATCTAGTGCAAGATCACTCACATGATGGACATCGTTACTGGAGGCTGTTATTATTCCATCCAATTATTTTGTTTATCCCCTGTCTTCCTCCTTCATGGGTACTTCATGAGGAGATGAAAGAGTAAATATTTATTCCTGTTGAATAATCCAACATCACAATATATTCATTCCCTTTAACCAATCTGCGATGGCTTTTGAAATTAACATACTGACTTTATTTTGCCTTTTTTAGTATGATTCAAAAGTGTAGCTTGTTATATGATAAAATGCACAGCAGCACTGTCTAGCCATAAGAAAGTAGTAATCATTCATCTACAGAAAATAAGGGCGATTTTTGAAAGTATACGATATCCAATCAACATTTATTAATAATAATTTCGACTATATAAAAGTGACAGTGCTGATATGTAATTTATTCCTATGTGAAAGATCATGCCAACTTTGTCATTGCCCACCTCAACGACAGCTCATCTGAGATTGCGGTCTAATAAAACGCATTGGCTTTCAGGCCATGGCGCGCTAATTTACGACATCTGCCAGGGAGTGACTATAATGCAGCTATGGTTCTTTTATTAGATGGGTGTAATTGAATTTCAAAGCCATCCATTGATTTCAATAGTATTTATGGCTTTCTGCTAAGTAGTGTCAGTGTGTTGATTTATTTAGAATTTACTACAGTTGTCTCTCATGTTGTTTTTAATATTTAGGTTAGCATAAACAAAGACAAATGGGAATTTGTTAATTAATTGCTTAGAAAGTTTATATTAAAATCCACTTCCTCTTTTCTTGTTTTATTTTTATTTTTAATTTTTGAATGTTAGCCTGGGAGGAGAAAGGCTTCCTGTGATATCTAGTGTAAGAGTAAGGTCAAACTGACATTTCTTCATAGTCATTTGAATGCATTCCTTCACCCTTATTTGGGCTTTCTCCTAGAGAAAGGAAGTTTATACTCTGTGATATTTGAGATGAAACCCATGTATACCATTTCTTTAAAAGAGTTTTTGAGAGACCTGAGTTAAAGGAAGAGTCTGTGGTTACACTGAATTTTGGGGTTCGTTACCTTGTACTGTAAGTGTGTAATTGTAGAGTCCGGTTGTCATTTGATAAGTCCATTCTGTCAGAAAAGAGAAATGGAAGGTTAAAGGGTCAGGCAAAATCGAACTGTTGTACCTCTCCCAGTGTAGTTTCAGAAGATTTTAATTTGAAAACTATGAAATGGATTTCATATCTAGGATCTTTTCGTAAGAGAGTATATGTATGGTTTTCATATGCCAGAACTTGAGAGTGCCTCAAAATGTAAGGTGTTGACTTTTTCCATTGAGATATGTAACTCATTAATTCAACATATAATTACTGAGTACCTCCTGTGTTCTAGATATTGTGCTGGCATTCAGATTCAGTGACCATTGGTAGTGGTCCTTGTCCTCAGGACTTTAAGAGAAGACAGGGCAGTGAATGGGCACTGACACTATGTGTAGAATGAAAAATTCTGCCTTGAAGATGAGCATAATTGCTATTGGAGAACATAGGAGGGGCACCACTTTGGTCTTGGTGAGATCATGGAAAGCTTTCTAGAGGAAGCAGTGTCAGAGCAGAGGACTGAATAGAAAATCTGGTTATCTTAAACAGTTTAACACATGCCCCGCTGTTAAGCCAGAAACATGTAATATGCTTTTTGTTCCATGATATCCTTGAAGACAATTGTGGGCTTACATTTATGTGAATGATTAATGACAGTCGGGGAATGTAATCAATAATGAGATGTTGTGTGCTTGCTTAGGTCTTCAGTGACCTGGTAAATATTTGGAAATGGCACCTTTAATTGGCTTTTGTTGTTACTATTACCTGTTCTTCAGGGCAAGAATTCAATATTTAGAAGAAACTGTGTAAGCTGTCAGCCTAGCAGTGAAGGGTTTCAATGAAGCGATACACTTCTTAGTCTTAAAATGTTCTCCCCTGTAGTGTCCAGGGCTTGAGGATAGTGTGCAGGGGAGAGAATCTGGCTTCCTGTTCCTATAGCTTAGAAAATACACCTGCAATCCCCTCTTCTGTTCTCCTTTCCTTTCTACCTACAGACCACACCCCTCTATCCAGAATGTTGGAGGAACTGGCAGGACTTAGAGGGCAAGAAGGAAATAGTCCACTCTGGGTGTTAAGAATTCTAGTTTTCTGCTTTCTTCATCTCTCAGCTTGAGGGCCTTTATTCCATATTTGCAATTCTCTAAGGGATTGTATCAGCTGTAGTTCTTATTGGATGCTTTGCTTAAGAAAAACCATGGCTAAATTTCCAGAACTTTTATCATGTCCAAAGTAAATGTATTCAAAAGTTTGTGCTGTGAATTATAAGCTTGCTGCTGTTTGTACCTTGTATGGCAGCCACATAATGATTTCCATTAATCTTCATTAAATGTGCTAGGTATGAGGCTGGACAATAATTGACTTTGTATTTGAAATCAACAAAATAATCATTTCTCATTCTAAAAAATTGTTTTTTTTAGATGGACCCACTTGTCTATATTTATGTAGGTCACTAATATATTATAACAGCTTCACTAGTCAAGTATGTTAATTAAAGAACATGCCTTGGATTGAGGGAGCAAGGGGTATAGTCTAGTAACATTGTTGACCTGTATTTAAAGAAAGCCTTTTATTTTTATTTATTTATTTATTTAGATTAGAAGTTTTACGTTCTAAGTTAAAATTTAACCATTAAGAACTAACCCTAACCATCAAGAATACCTAGGATCTTATATATGTATTTCTATCAAAATAGGTTATTTTAGATTTAATGTAAGTTTAGTCAAATGCATAATAAAATATGTGTAATTGAATGTGAGGCCATTTGAGACTGGGACAAAGGCCTGTCTTTTAATTTTCCATTCAGAAGAAGTTGTTCTCAAATAAAGGAAGTAGAGGAAGCTAACACAGATCAGTTTCTTAGACAAAAGGGAAAGATTAAGAATTAAATTTTCAGAAACATTTTCTCTCTCTTAACCTGCTGTCATCCTCCTTAACGCACCACCATAACTGCTGATGTTTTAAAAAGACAAATTTTTAGTATAAAACAGAAAATATACCTTGTTTTTGAGATTGCTACACTATAATAAGCTTTAATATGATAACTTTAGTTTAGGTACGTGACTTCTCTCAGAGCTTAATTGCCAAAATAATTTGCTTTCCATTGCTTTAGTCAGAGTGTGGCTTTCCAAGTACTTCTATCTGGAATAGAACTATCAGTAAGCACCTATGCACAATTCTTTAAATTTGAAACATTTCTCCAACTAGTGGTTTCAGCTAAATTAGCTACTTTGTGCATTACCTTCATATGAATCATTCTAAGTGATTGTTGGATTTAAGCAACCAAGTGTTTGCCAACTATGCATAAAATACTTCTCTTTCTCTTTTCCAGTTCTGAAGCCAGACATATTTAAAATAAATTTCAAGAATTCACTCGTTCCTATAAAATATTCTGAATGTATTGTTTCCTTTGTTGATGCTTTGTTATCAAATTTCTCATGTTGATATGCTTGAATTATATCTCTGCAGTGCTTGTGATACATGTTTGGTCTTTCATCACCGTGCTTAAACTTCTCTCAGTAGGAAAATCTCATTCAGGGCGGTGTGCAGAGTGGGTGTCACCCTGACACTTGGTCTGGGAGGTCCATATACCATGCATAATGACATATGAGCAAAACCCAGAAGTTTAAGGGGACATTTCTTTAATAGTACTTTTTTTGATTCTGTCATACTTTCATTTAAACATTTTCCTACTGCAGAAGAGGAAGGGGAAAAATATGCATGCTTCTTTTCTGTACTTGGGAGGGCAGTACATTTACATATGTATGAGAGTGTTTCACAAAGATGCGTGCTGTGCGGTTCTCTCATTTGTATCATAACATTGTTATTCAGGCTGGGGTACAGTTTTACTTTCTGAAATGAAAACGCCATACCGCTTGGATCTGTTTGGTATTTTTTTCTGTTTTTTAGAACTTGGCCTCTTTGAGACATTTCACAATAACTGTTTCCTTTCCTTTCTTATTTTATAGCTTTGAAGAAAGACGACACCACCTTTGACGAGGTAGGTTAAATTTCTTTATCTAATGTTAGATGTATTTAATTACTGCCAGGTTAAGTCAATAGGTGCCAACTTCTCACTTAGAAACAGAGAAAAAGTGCATTAAAAAAAGACCAGCAAGAGGTGATATCTTTTTAGTTACACTATATTATTTTTCAATTGTAAATCAGTCAAATGAATGAAGAGAAATGTGTCTTTTAAAATGAAAAACACACCAAACACACCAAACACACCAGGCCTTGGTGGCGTTGCCTTGTTGGTGATGTGCGTGCTCAGGACAGGCCTGGGGCCGTGGGTGAGCTGGGCAGCGCAGCTCGCTTGCGGACCTCCTCTGAAGCAGGGTGTGATGCGATGTTGACGCCACATATTGTCTGTCGGACTCCCAGAGGAGGTGCTGACTTTTCCCGTTCTAGTTTTCCTATTCTTTGTATATCAGATCTGTCTTTATCTACCTGCTACAGAGTAGCAAAAAAGCCTGTTTTTTTTGTAACAGTAAGGCAGAGGTAATTAATAGCATTCTGAATGTGATTTTTCAATTGTACTCTTTCCTGAGTTTTTCCAGTATCAGTGGGAATCACCAGAGAAATAATGTGTTTACAAAATGTTCTCAAGAGTGCTATGAAGTGGTGTTTCATTGTCGCCATCCAAACCACAGTAATTGATCTGTGTTGTAAACTGGACCACATGTGTACACGTATATATATTGCGTGTTTATATATGAACACAGATGTATCTATGCGATGTGCTTATCCTGAAGCCTAATGAAAGCATAGATTAGTTTGGTGTGGTTAACAGCTGCAGAGTCCGTGACATGTGCTACCTGTCGTCCCCCGCTGTAGTGCTTCAGCGAGGAAAGGACATTTGTGCTCCTGGAAAGCCCCCTCGGCCGTGCGGCTGGCTGTGGTGCGGGGCAGGAGCACGCAGGGAAAGCCTGCGGCAGGCCGGGGTTTCTGGATGGGGCCAGCGTCATGTGGCTGTCGCGGTCTCCCGCTTCACCGGCCTGCTGCACCTGTCCTCTTTCCCGGGCTCAGCTCTGCAAAGCTGCATGTCCCTGGACTCGGAAGCCACTTCCCCTCCCAGCACTCCTGCACCATCCTAGAAAACTTAGTTACTCTAGACCTGAAGCAGTAGAGGAATCTTTTCTTCCCCATCTGTAAAGGTTGTAATGATGTTCTCTAAACCTGTATTTCTGGAATTTCAGCAGTGTTATTGAGATGTTTTTAGGAGACTATTTTCTTCTCAGAAGAAATCAACATGAGAATATTGGGCACCTTTTCTCTCTTTATAAAGAAAAGGCTCCCCTCTAATTATGGAGGTAATTTAAGCTCATATAAAAAAGAAAAATACGGAAAAAGAGAAAGTCTCCCGAATCCCATTTCCAGTTACAGCCACTGTTGAAAGTTGTTTTTGCTTTTTTCCTCTTGTTAAAAAACACGCAGAAAGCCACAGCCCCTATATTACATCCTGTTCCTCTTTTAACCTGGAACAAACATGTTACTTTCCTGTGTTTTTACTCATGACCCCTAATCATCATTAGGAATGTAAAAAATATCTCATCTTGTTTAAATACCATTGTTAATGATCCTATGCTAGTCTGTCATGTGGCTGTGACACGTGGCTTTTAAAATAATCTGATGCTGGAGCCTCCGTGAAAGTTAAGGAGGTATATTAAACCCTCCAGTCCCCCGAAATGTCTGTGCAGAGATTTTGTAATTTGGGGAAAAATCATCCTTAGCTTTTACAAAGTGTTTTCCTTCCTCTGTACCACAAGAGATTGGTTAAATACCTCAGATTAGTGGCTCTCAGAATGTGTCCCCTGGAAGAGACATTGGAGGTCACGTGACCCGTGTCGTCATCTCACCGATGAAGAAACTGAGGTCCATAGGAACCTGGTAGTTCCCAGTTAACCAGGGGAAGAGCCAGGGTCAGGAGCCTGGGAGGCAGCTGTAGCAACGGCTGCCTGACTATAAATAAACCCTAACTCAGCCACCCTCTCAAGAGCAATCGACTGACCCTTCCTAAGCCTTTTACAAAGTTGGTGTGAGAATTAAATCAGCTAAGTGTATAAGGGTTCCAGAACAGTGATGGCACATAGGAATCGTCTCTTAATTGGTATTGTCATTGTCCTTGCCATCACCTCCCCCTCATCACCGATGCTCTCACCGAGACATCCACCTTCTGTAGTTGGAAGGGCTGCAAGGATGAAGCATTTAGTTTGAAATTAAGAATTGGAGAGTTATTTCAGATATTCCTCTAAAATTCCATATAAGGCTTCGTGTGATGATTTGCATGTTAATTAAAACTGTGAAAATATTGTCTAAAACCTACCACTTCTCAGGTTCCTTCGGAGGATGACTGCATTCAGCTTTGCAATCCCTCAGGTGGCCTGCACGTGGTTAACAGTCAGTAACTATCTGCTAAATAAGAATAACTATCGGTTGCCAATCAGGAGAGAGAATGTTGAACTGAGTACCAGATGATGTGAATTCTCATTTGCCAGTTCCTACCTATCAGGGCAAGTCGTTTAATTTACCCAGGGCTCAATTTCTCATTTGTAAAACCAATCAGTTAGACTATGATCTTCAAGTTGCTTTCTCTGTTTAAATGTATGACAGTGTCCTACGTAACAATCAACATAAAATTACAATTTTGCCAAGATCAGAAAAGAGCATCAGATCTGTGATTATATAAACAGAAAGTCAGTGACTTCTTCAAAGATCATCTTTGGATTATAGTGATAGAAGTTTTCCTGAACTTGTTTTGTGATCTTCCTCTCGAAATCTGGGGAACTGGACCATGTGTTGGAATTCAGTCAAGATTTGAGTCTTAAAACCCTGGGCTGGGTGAGCGACTTAGATGGGCATGGAGGTGTGGTGGCTTTCTCCCTCTCTGTGTTTATGAGCTGGAGGCTCCTTATCTCGAGGAATGGCTTCTCCAGAGGGTCTGGAGCTGGAGTTTAGTTGCTACTCCCCAATTTATGTAGAGGATTTTTCTAGGACATGTATACATGTTGGACCTGGAATGGAGGAGAGAAAAAATATGGACCTTTTTGAAAAAAATATTTATTTACTTGTTTTTAAATAGGCTGAAATTACCATGACTGTTAATTTTCATAACCAGTCTGGAATTTATTCAGGAACCGTGTGCTAATGCTTGTTGTAGAGAGAAATGAGAGGCACTTTGGAAGCTAAATATTGAGGCCTCAGATAGTTAGATTCGTAGGCAATTTTGTTGGAATAGGGAATTTTGTTGAAGCCTTAGGGTTTGACGCAGTAAGTGGCTAAAATGAATGGGCTAAATAAATAATTGTTGGCGAAGCAAATGGTTAAGCCAGATTGAAGGATCAAAGAAGATTGCTACATTGTGTCACAGTTTTAAGTGGACAATGTTTTTGGTGACATTGTGATGAGAGTTGATGTTGTCACTATCAATAGTGATACTATTGCAGAACTTTCCAAATTTCTTTCTTACCTTTGCTCCCAAGTGAATGGCCATGGCATGTCCCCTAAGTGGATCCATTCTTCCTGGGGCAGTGAACAGCAGCTATACTCTGACTTCTGGTGAAATTTGGAATCTTATTTTTTTATTTAATTTGTTTTAAAATAATAATACTTAAAATGTTAAAGGTCAGAAACACAGCTAATCTGCCCTAATGTAAAATTACCACATGTAAAACCTTTTGAACTTTGGAAGCAGAAAGCTCCAATTAAGTGTAAATATATGTTTATAGAAAGAGCTGGAGAAGTCTAAAGCCACAGCAATTCATGAATGGTTCTTCTGCATAAATTAAGAGGTTAAATGGTGTAGCTTTAGTTCTGCTTCATGCCTCTGTTACTTTAGCTCAGATAAGTTGTCAGAACAAAATGTTGACTATGCTTGGCTCTTTGGGGGAGAAATGCAAAAATTTTAGTGATCAAAATAAACCTTTTCAAATGAGAAGTTTTATTTGTCTATGGTATGGAATCCAGATAGTTCAGCATTTATTTAGTTTGGAAAAAATGGGTGATCGTTTATGACTTTTTCTAATTAGTCTTCACTCTGCTCAGTTATTTCACGTTTGCGAAGTATAGGGGCTGCTAGCACATTTGCGCATTTTCTAGCCACTCTATTTTTTGTATACTAGAAAAATGTGTACAAAGCCTACCAAATAGCTTCACATTTTTACACCTGATCTGTAACTTCTCTGAGCTACCTTCTTACAAGTTAACTTGCTTCCTGTCTGCTTAATGTGATCATTTTGTGAGATGGATGGGAGCAGTAGTCCATTGATTTCAGCTTCTAGTCCAGGCCCCTCTGTTATTTTGTATGAAGACGTACCTATCATAAGCACCTGTAGTGAGAAAGGCGGCGGTGATTTTTATGAGAACTAGAGTCCAGGGCTGAGGTACAGATATGATTTGGGGATATTCTTGGCCATTCTTTTCCATCCCTTGAGGGTGGTGGAAGCTCTTGCAGTCTTTTCTCTCCCTGTCATCATCATTGGAGGCCTCAGGGTCTGTGTGAATGATGTTTGCATTGTATGCAAGGATCTAGCCTCAGACTTCTTAGAGTTCCTCATCTAAAATAATAAATCCCAGGAACAACCTTTTCTTCCTAGCTCTCTCTCTGCTGCTGCACACTCCCTTTGTCTCTTCTCTCCTGGCTTCCAGTTTCCAGAAAACCCCTATCGCATTCTTCCAGCCTAAGCCTTCCCCCCTCCTCTGTTCACTCATGGTACATCACTCTCTCCCCAGTATCCTCAATGGCCTCGCCACTTTGTACTTTGCTTGTAACCTACTCTGCCAGCCCTTGATTTTGACCTGGCATCTTTTCCTTTCTTACCCAGTGGCTGCCAAGAGCTGCTTGAGGAAACCACTCTACAGTATAAATAAATTTATCGTCTCCAGCCTTTGCTGGAACCTGAAGCCACTGTGCACAGCCTTACACTGTGTGGCTGGCCTGCTTCCTGCTGAAACCTTTCCACTCCCCTCAAACCTCCTAGCAACCCTCCTCCCTTTAAGGAG